ACACATAGTACTATGTGTCCCCAGTTATGAATGAACAGGCTGTGATTTACATCATAGCCTGTTCATTCAAGAATTTATGAATGGGGACTAGCACTCACTACAAAGGCTCCTCCCCATTCATAAATTAATGATAGTAAGATATTTTTACTATCATTAGTTCGTGAATGAATGAGAAGCCTCTGTACTGAGTGCTTCCCATTCATTGAGTGCTGGGGCTGCAGAAAAAGAAATTGAGGACTCTTATGTCCTCCATTTTTTTTGTATTTCAAAAGGGAAATGTCAGGGGTCTATTTAGACCCCAGATATTTTGCCGCAGCCCCCCCCCAACAGTAAAAAAAAAAAAAGTGTACAAAAAAACTAATAAAAAAAAAAGCACAACCCCTCCCTCCCCCCACATAACATACACATATTGAGGTGTACGCCATGCACAGGAGAACGGAGCCGCTGTCATCCTGTCAGTTTCCAAATGACAGCGGCTCTGTGCGTGGCCGAGCGGGGGATCGATAAGTATCATTGATATTTGCCGATCCTCTGTGCAGCACAAACACCGGAGTGATCGTGTGATCACTCCAGTGTTTGTAAATAACTGGGGACACATAGGGGGTTATTCACAAAGCTGTCGAAGGCAGCCGAGTGAATAACCGACCCGAAGTTAAGTGAGCCGAACGCCGTTTGGCTATTCACTTCAGGCGTGTACAGCTGATTTCAGCCGTACACCGACTGAAATCAGCCGTACAACGGCTTGCTGCGGCTGGGTTCGGGTCGGCCGAAGGAGTTTGACTCAGCTAATTCAACATCTGGATCGGCTTAGCCGAACTTTAGTCAGGCTACTCGTTGCTGTTCGGCCTATTCTCATAGGGGCCAAACAGCAGTGAGTGAATAGCCGAATGCCGCCGAGCGCCATTCGGGTCAGCTATTCTGCTCGGTACCTCTGTGATACGAGCAGAATAGAAAAAACAGAAAAAAAAAGGAGGAAATGATTGGGCGGAGCTAGCAGTGACAGCTAGCTCCGCCCAACTGTTTTCTATTGGACGAGACCGGCTGTCATTACAATGAGAGCTTATCAGAGTTCACAGCCTGTTCATTCATGAATTTCTGGATGGGGAGTAGCACTCACATTGGAGGCTTCTCCCCATTCATAAACTGCTTGATAGTAAATATCTTATTGTCAGCAGTTTCTGAATGGAATGTGAAGCCTCTGTACTGAGTGCTTCCCATTCATTGAATGCTGAGGCTGCAGAAAAAGAAATTGCGGATTTGGTGTCCTCAATTTCTATTTAAATTTTTTGCAAATCGCACTGCACTGGAACCCTCAGCATTGCGCTACCGAGCATTCCAGTGCGAGCAATCACACTGTGGGTGGGAGGCGCCTTGGGGTGCCATTGAAATGAATGGCACTGCAACACACCTCCCACAGCAGAATGTCAGGCTGAAACCAAAAATTACCTTTTTCTCACCTTTTTATAATTTTTTTTTTTTTTTTTTAACAATTGCATTGTGAGCATATTGTGCTTGAAAAGCTTCAGCCAGGGAATGACTGCTGCCAGTGGCAAGATTCCACAGATGGCAGCTAAATGTAAACACAGCAGGTAGTGGACAAATACAATAGCCAATAGCAGGCTGGCTATTGCACCCGTCCTCTGCTTGCTGTGCCCTGGAGGAGAGCGCTAGGGGATCCAACAAATCGATCATGAGAATAGTTCACAACTATTCTCATGATCGATTCGTTAGTTGCAGCCCTAGAAAACAGATGTAGTAACAGCTATAACCAGGGCTTGAAAAATTTTAGGCTGTCTGACCAGTCAGTCAAAAATTTCACCAGTCAGCATGACCGGACTAGAGCCTTGAAATTTACAGGGATTGAAAATTAACTCGTCCTCGACGAGAGGACCCAGGTGCCGGACGAGTCGCAGCGCGCGCCGGTTTAAATAATAACCAGCGCGCGCTGTGTCCGGCTTCTGACAACAAGACGCTGGGCCGCCAGCTGGCTCCGCCCCTATCCACCAGCGAGAATGCAGTGTGGAATGCAGGGCCTTTCCTGTTAACCAGCGGTGGCGGAAGTGTGCACTCAAGTCACAGCCAATGTCATCCGGCTCATGCGCGCAACGTGAGACAGCGCGCACTGGTTAGCAGTTAAACCGGCGTGCGCTGTGACTCGTCAGCACCGGCGTCCTCTCGCCTAATTAATTTTCAGACCCTGGCAATAGCAATTTAGAGACTTTGCTTTGACTCTACAAATTTAAGATTTATTAGTCACCCCCAGGTAAATAAGTTTTGGTTCATAAACTGAATATGAAAGAATTTCTCACAAATTTTTCCACAAAATGTCCCATATATAAAATGTAATGATGTTGAAGTAAAATCTCCCAAATTCTGAACATATACACATTGGTGAAAAGGAAAAATAAGCAGTCTATTGAAAATATATTATTTTTTTTGCAGTTTCCTAAAAAATGTTGATGTTTTCGGTGTGCCCAAAATACCAATTAACCTACAAACATGTTTTGAGGCTCTTGGAGAAACCTAAACGAATCCAGAAAACAATTAAACACCATGCAGGTAATATCAAAAGTGGGAGAACGGCCTGAGCACAAGGCAAGAAAGCTAGCCACCATTCCTAATGCTAAATTCAGGTCATTTACTAACATTAAAGTATATGTAAACCCAATTGCTAAAAACTCATAAGCTTACCGTAATTAAGTGGGTAAATTCGGTAACAAGTTTTACTTTCTGGAGGTTAATTTCTCTCATCTTGGCATTTGCTTGTTCTTCAGCTTCTTCCAAATTAATATTTTCTATTTCCAACTGTTTCAAGCTAAAAACAATGCAGAAAAAGTTTGGAGAATAAATGTTACCCTTTATTGGGCAACTCAGGTTGTTTGAGATTACTAAAATCATTTGACAAAATGATACAAGACTCTACCAAAGCAAAATCAAATGAAAATAAACACTGAGTGTCCTAGCAAATAATTACACATTTCCCCACCCCATTCAGCTATTGACCAGGAGATTTCCCAGCCGCGTGTACACAAAGTGACAGGGAATGCTGACAGCCATTGGTTGCCAAGACAACTTCAGCCTCACAGCCAGCAGCCTCTTAGCAACCAATGAAGTGGCTAAGTGGCCTGATGAAGTGCCAAGAGACTAGTTCCCCATGAGGCCTCTCTGCTGCTTATTGGATAGCCAATAGTAGGCTAATTATTAGCTGCAAAATCCGCCCAATGTCAATTACTGACTTAGGTGTACTAAGGACAGAGGGTCAGTATGGACCGGCCTCAGTGCGCCTCTGCACCGCTAATGGCAGTGCTTGCGCCAAACTCAAGCACCCTTTTCTAACGAATCTGGGGCACGCACCAACATTTGTTGTGCGTATGCACAACAGGAGTGTGGTATTCACCGTTTATGAATTCCCCCATTGTATCTTTACCTAGAAGGAAATATTTTAAATGACAGAGTTACAAAAATTAGTACATATATATACACATATGAAAATACATATTAGCAACTCACAAGTAAACATTAGAGAATACAAAATATCCTGATTAGAGACCATGAAGAAAAAAAAAAAAAAAAAATCTGGAATAGACTGGCACTCCCAAGAACACAGCTTGTACAAAGCTGCCATTTTCAAGAGAAAAAAACTCCAACTGTAGGTGGCAAGTACAATAGTAGTTGGTCACATTCATTTGTACTTTTCTTGACGTTTTTCACTGCTTAACTAAGCAGCTTCCTCCATTCTAGTTAGTGTCAGGAACATCCTCGGGTAATTACAGACACATAGGGCCACTTTCCCCATGGAATGTGTCATTGCAGATACTAATTGTCCATCGCCATGAAGAAAGGTGTGTTAATAAATCAATTCAAACCTTGAGCCATGTAACACAAACCACCTGTCGCATACGTCTTGACGCCATGAGATGGGATTATGTAAATTGAAACATAGCTGTTCCCCAATCTTAAACTGGCCATAGATCATGTGAATTTCAGGCGGTTCTTTAGGAACCGGCTGGAATTTGCACACTCTGGGCCATTGACAGCACCCATCCCTCAATCAGTTTATCAAAGGAGCCGGTTCGAAAATCTTTGAACAAACGCAGCCAATCAGCTGCCTGCTCTTTTTGGGTATTCTGACAGTGGCCACAGGCCGTTGTCAGAATACAAAACAAACAGCGGGGATTCCTCGATCAACGCTTGTAAGGATTGAAGGAGGAAACTGTTGTCTGCTTTTTTGTTTATCCCGAGGGTTGAACGAAAAAAAAAATAGAACATTGTATGGCCAGCTTTACACCTCTCATACTGATCTTGGATAATCAACATCTGCCTTGGCCGGTGTGCGTGTGGCTATAAATGATGGTTCCTGACACTCATTGGAACTGAGGAAGCTACCTAAATAAGCAGCAACATGTCCTCAACATTACAAACAAGTCCAGTAAAATGTGACTGACTACTGCTAGCTATACCATGACTTGTATAAATGAAAACGTTCACTCTAGCTACAGAGTTGGTGCCCTGGACCTGACTGATCAAAGTAGGTGTATGCTATAAAAACTTTAAATAGCCAATTATGAGTTGTTAATATTTTACAGATTTTATGTAATAAACTGGTGGATTTTTCTGAATGTCTGCTTTCCTTATCTTCTAGCGAGAATTCAGAATTAATTTCATCATCCGAGTGAAAATCTCACTAAACTAATGTGCTCCACCGATTACGAAATGTTGCAGGACATAGTAAAATGTTTCTGAAGTCAATATATTACAGTGATGCACTAAATTACCCAATTGTTTGCTCACATTCACTCAACAGAGCAGCACATTTGATTTGTGGGAAAATGATGCAGCACTGTAGGAAGATGAAGTGTACATTGACATTAATTTGCAACAAGTTAAACTTTGTTAACCACTTACCTATCAAATTTGGTGCCAATTCTCTGTTCTAGCTGTCGCTTTTTGGTTTTCATGTCCACAATTTCTTTTTTTCGTAACCTTAGTTCATTGTCTCTTTTGTCTAGCAACTTTTGACCATCAGTTAGTTGATGCATCCGAGCGTCTAACACAGAGCATCTTTTCTCAATCTCCTAAAATTACCATCACAAGTTGGAGGGAGGGGGTTTCACCAAAAATACCCAGATGAGGGGGGGGGGGGGGGGGGGGGGGAGGAACTTTTAATAGCGGTAGCATACACACCATATAAACAAACATGGACTTAAGTATTAAAGTGGGATTTTATCATGTTTATTAGTATAGCAGCAAATAGTCTCATCAACAAATAAATGTACAGTTTTCATACAGCTTACAAGCATGGAGAGATCAGAGCAATGGTGACATCTGCAGGCAATATATGAATACACATCCACACATTCCAGTCCACCAAGAGTCACCTACCCAATCTCCGACTTTAAAGGCTATGAATTTAAGCGATTATGCCTGTGTTTCTGGTTTTACCCTAAACAAACTGTGCCACACATCTCATTCCACTTTTCTCTTCTATGCCATCCTCACTGCACCATGCCATCCCCAGCTGTAACCTATTTACTAGCAAGACTCTCGCTGTTTTGTTACTGTACGTTTCTCCTCACTCTGTGAAATGCAGCCCCCTAATCCTTTCCTCATCAACTTGTTGTGCAAGCAAATACCTCAGTCACCCAGTCAATTCCTGTCACTTCAATAGCTTATTTCCAGTGTAAAGGTGACACTGGGGGTCTTTTGGACCCCCAGCATCACCTTAAAGGAGTACCTGTCAGCACCATCTGCTATCACATGGGGGGGGCTTGTAAGCCCTCCCTAATTTTCAGGCCTAAAATGTGGAATATAACATGGGTACAAAAAAAATGAAAAAAAGGCCTCAGTCATGAAGGGGTTAAACACATACAATGAAAGCAGCAATTCAATTTTTTTAAGTTATGCCATGTAATTGGGAACATATAACAAACATAAAATACCGTATTTTGCGGTCCATAACACGCACCTGACCATAAGACGCGTGTAGTTCCTGACAGCCGAGACAAGTGGCGCTGTGATTACAGCGCCACGGTCTCAGTGATCACACAGAGCAGACGGAGAACGGACAGGATCGCCGCTGCTCCTTTCATACACGTGATCTAATCAGTTAGTCTATACATTTAGCTCCGCTTGTCAGGAGCAGGGCTAAATGTACAAAAAGACTACTCGCCTGGCGCCCGAAACTGCATGTCCCAGGCGTCGGGCGATAGGGATCCCCCCCCGTGTACACATTCGCTACATAAGACGCACAGACATTTTTGCCCACCTTTTGGGAGGAAAAAAGTACGTCTTAAGGAGCGAAAAATACGATGTTATGCCAATTTTGCTGCAAAAGTGGAACTACACTTAAAATTATTTTGGCACTTACTCATCCCTCCTGATGTTAAACTTCATGCCTTGCAACTTAAAAATGAAATGCCAGCCCCTCAGTGGCCTGCAGAAGTACCGATATTGGACATCTGCAATGAAGGCAATTAGTGCCCACTTGGCGAAACTGTGTGGTCCTGTTTACAGCCTAGGCCTAGGATCCAAGGGATTTATATAATGAATAAACAATTTACATGCAGGCATGACAAAATGCATACACTTTAGAAGTTGTCTAACCTTAGAAGCCATTTAGACACTATAGGAGTGCTTTAAGACCGTTACACAGCTTCCTCATCTTGTTTGAACACAATTGTTTTTATACATAGCAACTACCATAGCACTGCACTAAAGTATTAAATGTTTCCTCAGCCAAAGACCACTGGTTCAATGCTTCTGTATGGAGTCCACAATCAAGAAATTCTAGCAGATCATTTAGATAATGTTATTTAAAAGGTGCAACAATTTAGTTGCAAAATGCCATACTTTCTAGACAGACTGCCACTTGACACTACATAATCTCTGTTCTTTACCTTATATTGTTCAAGAACCTGTCTCCTCTCCTCCGGATCCACAGTGACTGTGAGTAACCTGGGATCCCTCAAAGGATTGTTACTTGAGATTACATTGTTAGTATACGCAGATACCTTTGTGGAGTATTTTTCTTCTGCTGTGTACAACTGCCGGAGTTTGGTCTCTTTAATCACCTAAATAATTGAGGACAAATGCAATGAAAAGGGAGAATTAGAAACATACATGATATCATTTTCATAAGATGTTTTTTGTGAAAGAGTTTTTAACAAGGTTCGTTGGTGAAGGTTTGCCTTTAAAGGTTTTAGGATATTGCAAAATCATAAACATATTAAATGAAGGTAGAATAAATTTGGACAATTATTTTTCCTACATACAGCTAACGTCCTATACAGAAATCCTATAGGCAGAAACTACGACTGTGAATTTCTTTCCTCCTTATTGGATTTACCAACAGCAAGTGGACTACACAGAAGAGCTGGGTTGTCAATTGTGAATGTTACTAGTAGCTCACTAGTAGCTATAGTGTACAATCGACGCCTTCTCCATGAGGCTTATTTGAGAATCTGAGTTATAACTGTGCAATCCTTTACTTATTATCAAAGATTTCTGTTTGCTTGTTTAGCTTTAACTATGTTATAGGAGAGTGATTAATTGAACCAGGTGACCCCTTGAGGTCTGTAAAGTTTTCGGACTCATGCAGCTCATGCTTGCCAGTGTGCTAGAATGCAAAGCAAAATCTGGCCTGGTTTCATACTGGCCACTTCAGGAAGCCATGGGAATGTGTTAAATTGAATTCCTGCATGCCGTGACAGTTGGAGAGAGTATCATGATGAAATATGCAAGATTAGGATGTTTTCTAAATCCCTGCTCACACCAAGGTATTTTGTCAATCAAAGCTATGTGCGGCAGAACGCGCAACGAATCCCATTCGCTTATCTTGAGCACGACAACACTCAAGACAACTGCAAGTGCAACTGAAGCCAATTAAGAAAAAAAAAAAAGACTTGAAGGGATTAGAACACCCGTCAGATTTTTATTGTTGCCTGTGCCTTGCGTTTCCGTGCGGCCGATCGCATTGCGGCCGAAGGGCGTGGCTTCGGTGTCATTCACTTAAACACACCGCCACACCCCCTCCCACCCCACAACTGAGCCGGTCGCAATGCGACCCAGTGCGTTCTGGCCACAATAGTGCCAAAACGCACTGAGGATGGGGAACGCACAGTGCGTTCCAGAGCGGTCAGACTCTGGAACGCACTGTATTGCACTCAGGGTCGATCACCCGAACGCGTGGCACATTAATGCCTGCGTTCCGGTCTAGTGCGATCTGCAAAAATGCTGCAAGCACTAATTTTGCAGATTGCACTGAACCGGAACGCAGGCACTAATGTGCCACGCGTTCAGGTGAAGGCGATTGCAATATGGGTGGGGGGGCATGGCTATGATGACATTAACTTCAATGCATCACCACGCCCTTTCCCGCACCTGAATGCAGATAATGCCTGAATCAAAGAATGCAATGTTTTAGGACGGTGTAGGGTTTGTTTACACAAGTTACAGTACAGTGCGTTCCAGCGGCATTAGCTGCCGGAACGCACTGTATCGCATGGTAAACTCCACCTGCGTTCTGGGCTGGGAGGGGCCGTGGCGGTGAATTCAAGTCACCAAAACGCGGAAACCACAATGCCTGCATTCCGGTCCAATGCGATCTGAAAAAATAGCGGATGCAGCATTTTTTCCGATCGCACTGGACCAGAACACAGGAATGTGCCACGTGTTGGTGCAAGCGAACGCACTGCGGGCATGGGGGCATGGCTGGGGTGCCATTGACTTCAGAACAAAGGAGGGAGGTAGATCGATGGTAGATATCATTGGGCTCCTCATTTAAAAAGTAGATCTCAATACAAAAAATTGTGGGCACCCCTGGTGTAGAACATTTGACAGGATTTAAAAAACAGAGCTATTACTGCTAAAATAAGTCAAATAAAGTATTTTAATTGTACTGTACATTTCAAGAACCTTGAATGTCATTTCTCACCACTTACTTTTTCTATCACATGTCGAGTCTTTTCTGTTCCTACAGGAACTTCGTGCACGTGATACTGGAAGACTAAATAATTCATCACTGGCTGAGGAGCATCAAACAGCTCTCTCAAGTAAGAGAAGAAACCATATTGTCTGCAAGAAGAATGACAAAGCATCGATTTTATAGTTTGTGAAACTATCTTAACCCCAGTGAAAAAAGCTAAATTTGCCATTAGGGAGAGTAGGCATGTATCTATAGGCGGGGTGGTGTATTCCCTGTTTTGTTATTGGCACATCATCACTAAGAATACACTAATCTATTATATTTTTAATTAGCCATTGTCCCAGTATCCCAAGTCAAGTTAGGGTGTGGTCAAAAAGAGGTGATTCAAGCTGAGCTTATTACATTGGGTGCATGCAAGCTCCAGAGTGGTGGCAGTCTGACAGGATAACCCTCTTACGACTGAACCAAAACTAGCAAAAGCAGAGGGTAAGGGAAAAGGATTCTTTGTTACTATAGGGAACACAGACACATTGATGACAAACTCCTGACAAACCTGCACCCAATTTGATCTTTTGACACATGTGCTCCAAGATGGAGACTCTCATAGTTTAGAGTTCGGACCGCACTATATAGGAGGTGCCTTGGCGCGGCTTTCACATTTTCTGCAGAAGACGTGTATCTAAACCTCTGTTTTTAACCTTAGCAGTGAGACAAGTTTTTTTGCATGCTGGCTGGTGAGTGTGCTGGGAAACTTTTTGCTGTTACATTGATGAACAAGGTGCATGAAAAATGGAGGAACTGCGCATCAGGCAATTGTGATAGTATAAAAGGTAGACCATGCCAGTTTACAATATCAAAGACAAAGCCCTCTCCAAACATAACAATAATTCAGTAAAGTGGAAGCGTTTAGTGCATTTTTTGTAACAGTTTAGAAATGCACACTGTGTAATGCACAATTATTTATCATTCAAATGTGTGATCACCATTTTGTGGTTGTACAGTCTTGTACAGTTGTGGGTAATAATTTTGTACAGATCTATTGTTATTACACTTCTATACAAAACTAGGTCTGGGTGAGCATCATGCCTTCAGTTAAAGCAATATGTTTCACATGAAAGAGAACATCCAGGGTGGGTAGTGGTAAAGAAAAAGTTTTTAGCTCCCATTTTATAACTAGAATAACACGCATAGTAGAACACTGTGCTATGTGAAGAACAAAAGGACGACAGCTTACTCCAACTCAGTGATTGGCTTTAATGGCTTTTGGTCTGCAATGTGTTCTGCAGGTGAACATACAGCGTTTACCCTTAATCTTTTAGTGTCACGGACCTGAAAAAAAATATACATAAATAGTAAATGGCAATACAGAAATGATCACAGATGAACATATACACAGAATGCCATAGTAGGTTTTAATGAAGTCTACAGCAAACCTCTCAGTGAACTGTTTTCCAGCAACACAGTTGTTTAAAGTTAGCATCCAAACACTTAGTCAAAGTATTAGAATTATGCAGGATTACTTATGAAAAATAAAAATATACCGCTCCTAATCCTCTTTTGCTCATACTATGCAGGTGTGCTAAAAAAGTATGCAAACTATTTACATAAAGATATTTAAAACAGGAAAGTAATCCTTAAAACTACAGGTATGGCCATAACTGAACCACGCAAGCAGAATTAATCAGGATAACCCTTTCGCAGCCACGGACGTACCTAGTACGTCATTGGCAGAACGGCCCTGTAAACAGATTCAACCACCAGAACTCTGTTTACCTTTGTAAAGCCGGCTTTACAATAGAAGCATTTCTGGCAGCTCATCTCCTGCCAGATCGCTTCTAAGGGCCGGCAAAGTGCCCACCCCCCCGTGTTTCCTGGGCTCCGCTGCTCCTCCTGCAGGCCCGGGACTGGCATTTCGGATGGCGGCGGGAAGCTGGGAAGGAGAGAGTCGAACTTTCAGTCACAGATCTCTTCCCCGCTCTATGAGACCGGGGGTGACGCGGATTGCATCATGTCCGGTCCCTGAGCAGTATTCAATTTGCACTTCAATTGCTTATTTAAAGTGGAAAGGTGATACTAGGGGTCTTTTGGACCCCTGGTATCATCTTAAAGAGGACCTGTCACTGCCAATATGCTATCACATGGGGGACTTGTAAGCCCTGCCTATGCGATAGCAGGTAAAACATTATAGAATAAAATGTAAAAATGTAAAATGTTTTAAAGTCCCCCGCGAGCGCATTCACGCAAACATGCATTAGGAGCGCCTACGTACGAAAACATCAAACGCGCATATCATCCACATGATGGTTATCGTCGCGCATGCAGAGAGCAATAATTTTAGGGCCAATATTTATGCGCATCTCTAAATTGATGACCTGTAGGGGCTTTTAAAGCGTCTATGGACTTTTGTTGAATTTTGTCGCCATTTCACGGACGCACGCAATTTTTAACCTGGGCATGTTAGGTATCCATTTGCTCATTGGAACCTCCTCTATTATTAGTCTACGGGGTGTTGGCATTCAGAAAATATATACTGTTTTGGTGGTTTGAAGTATTTTTCAGACCTAAATGTGGATTACATCATGTGTGCAAAAAAACTGAGAAAAAAAAAAAAGGGAAGGGCCTTGGCAGCAAAAGGTTTCATGCATAAGCGCACATTTATCCCTGTGGATCCTCTATAGGAATATATACAGAGTACGTTTAAAGCCTAATCGCCAGGAAAAAAAAAATCTCCCCTTGCAGTGGGGCTGCCCCCACACTGCAAGGATTAACTGCTCATTTAAAAAGGAGAACTATGGGGTTAGGACAACTATGTGGAAAAGCCCTAAGGGTAACGTGAGGACACAAACTAGTGTCCTCCCGTCACCCAAAGCTCAGTATACCGCGAGCTATACTGAGACGTGGCAGCCAGGACGGATCCCGACTTTACTGTTGAGATCCACCCAGCTGCAGGATTGACAGCTGGCTCTGCCTATCTAGAGGCAGAGCCAGCTGTACCCGCCCTCTCCCCCGTCCGTTCCGCCAGTTAGCGCTGGAGGATCGGAGCGGGGAGGGGGGGAATCCCTGCAGTGAGCCGTGAGTGACAGTCACGGCTCTCTGTAGGGATAGATCGAGAAGTGAGCGAGCGACGGTATGTGTTCACTCACTTCCCGAACTATTGAGCCGACCTGTGACACTTTCATTGTCACAGGTTGGCTAGAACTATGAGGATGAGTGATTTTCAGTCTCATATTTCTCTTTTAGCTCTAAGGTAGTTGTGTAAAATGACTAACTTACCTGATCCCAGCTTCTCTACGCTCCAACGCCAGGACCCACATCCTTTCCCTCCCGCTGTGCCCATATCCGTGCATCATATGTGAGGATACAATTAGCTGTAGCGCAGCAGCGACTGCCAGGGAAGCAGGGATCAGGTAAGTGAAAGGCCTTTACACAGCTACCCTAGATAGACTCTTGCACTGCAAGGGGACTTATTTTTTATTTCCCTGAGGATAGTCTTTAAGATAGAGGGCGCAAGATGTTCTGCTGACAGCAAAACCCTGAGTTTTATCAAAACAGGAAGTGGGAGGAAGATCTAACTAGCAAGAAGCTGCTAGCTAGATGAAACAGCGGAACCACAAAAGAAAAACCTGTCACTAATAAATCAAATACTGCGGTTTAAACTGGGCTGTGTATGAAAATATATAGCATCAACAAAGAACCTAAAAAAAAAAAATCCACACCCCCACAACTCACCTCTTTCAAAAATACCTCCATGTCCTCTTGGCTTTCAAACACGAAGGCTTTCATGTCATTTAATGAAATGTGATTTTCCACATATTTTGCATACTTATTATTTTTGACATTAATCTGCGAAGAGAAGAAAAAAACAAAATAGTGAATTAACAACTGCAAAAATTATTGTTTAGAGCATGTAAAAAACTAAAAATAAATTTAAAAAAAAAGCAGCTTGGTACCTTGTGAACACTGTGATGACCAATCATGTGTGTGCATTGTTGATTACAACAGAGCAGTGAAAGAAATCATAGCAATTTATGAATTGGGAATGAATTAACTGCTCAGCAGCAGCTTGTGCATCCATTTCCAAAACATTGAGGCAAAAAATTAGATCCACTTGAGGGGTCTATTTTACAAAAAAATGGTTATTTGGGGGCGGGGTTGTCTTGGCATTTTTTTTTATTTTAAACAGAAAGTAAAAGGTTTTTATATTAAATAAAAACATGTTTTTTTATTTTTTTAACTAAAAGAAAGATCCGTTTAAAAAAATTCTGTCAAAAACTCATTTGAGTACAGTGTTGCATGACCAATAAACTGTCAAACTATTAAAGTGCTGAAAACGATACAAAATGACCTTGTAATAAAGGGGTATTACACTCAAGTGGTTAAGGGTTTTTCTTGAATCCCAGCAAGCTTGGTAGCTTTTTCTCATACATGGCAAGCATAATGAAGCATATAACAAACATTTTCTGAAATAGACCCACCTCTAACATAATGGGAAAACAGACACGTTTCTTAAACTGATTTTTATTTTCTTTAAGCCAAACAACTGCATTGTAAGTGTCTGCAAATTTCTTTTGCAAGTTTTGTTCTTTTAGATTGAGTAAATTATCATACTGCTTAAGTCGATTAGCTTTGTCTGTGAAAAATAAAGACAAAAATGAACATAAACAACTACACCAATACACTAAACAAACAACACTATAGTCAATGAATAGGCAATGTTAAGCATTGAAAGCATCAGAGATTTGTAGCTTCCTGAACCCTGTTTTAGCAGAATAAAGGATTACGTTCCATATGTTGGCCGGTTGCGGTCATCCAATTTTACGTCTAAACTTTACTCTCAGTAGCCAGCTGTCTTTGCAGACAGGAATGGAGAGGTATTGTTTGTTTGCTGTTACAAACACTCCAACAGTATACTGGCATAAAATTATTTCTCAGAAACAAAAACCTTAGTCTTTGGACATGTGATACTTGCACTTGGAGAAGTTGCTCCCCCCCAGGTGTGGTTCACTCCTGATATAGCACTAGCCAAGTGAGCGATCTTATTATTAAGCAAAGGATATAGGAAGTAAAGTTTTTGTTTCCCACCTATCTTCATGTTGAAGATTTTTCAATTTCAAAATAATATAGGACAAGCATTACATTAGTTGGTAATGTTTGTCCTATGTTATTATTCAGGAGGTATTAAATGTTTCTCGCATTCAAAAAAAAAAGAAACAAAAAAAAAAAAAAAGGGGAAACTGAGTACACAGAAAACATACAAAACATTGAAAAAAATCAGCCAGTGCCTACGATAGAAAATGTTTTTAGTTTAATAAAAAAAAACTGTATTTAGAAAGACCAATTTTTAAAGCTGAACTCCAGATATAACTTCGTATGCATACTCCCCATCCCTCAGTCTTCTCCAATATGGTAGACAGTTGCGTCATTAATATGAGGCAAGACACACAGGATGATGCTTCTATAACTTATATTTTCTAACAATTAGGTGGCCAAGCATGCAAAGTCATGTATGTCTGTCACTGTGATCATGCTTTTTCAATCCCAACATGTGCAGCAATGCAAGTCCATTGCCGACATATTGCCCTAGCAAATCCCTGCTGTAGTGATACAAGCAGTATGGTGGCATATGTCCCCGCATCCTCGATAGCGTATGATCTCTGAAGGCTGCGTCCATGCTTATACTAAATACCGTTACTATATTGTGGGGTCAGAAATATGGCGGCAAGATCCCATGCATGTCGGAGAAGGAGGACATGTCATAAGCAGAATAAAAACAGCTGTAAGAAATTTGGCGAGTGTACTCCCAGCAGCCCACTCCCACTACTCCCACTAGAGCCCCCAACCCTGCCAGCACCCTCTCCATTAGTCACCACCCCACCGAAGTTCAAAACTCCCCAACCTCACCCTTTCCACAGATCAGAACACCCCACCTTGGTCTAACCACTGCACCAGAACAACCGCCACTCTGACTTTGTCTGTGCAGCAACCCTGCATGGCCAACCAACCCGACCCCACCACAGGTTTCCCTACACCCACTTTCACCAGTCTGACAACACAGCAGCCAAATTCAAGGAAGAGTTTGGGAAGTGTACTCCTCCAAACCAAAAGGAGTACATCGCTAGAACATGTAAAACTGCTGTTATGTGCCTAAAAGAAGAAAGAAAACAGAAAGCAAAAAAGAAAATAATGGTCATGTTTAGCACATAAATATAGAAATAACTATTCCAAAGTCACCTATCTTTTCTTTTTCTCCATTTCTCCTCTCCATACGCAAGTCACTCATTTCATTTTCAGCATTGGCTTTTTCTTCCTGTATATGAGCTAGTTCGCGACCAATATCATCCATCTCCTGCTGAAATTCTTCTACGTTTCCCACAGATCTTAGCTCATTTCGCCAATCTTCAATCATCTTACGCATATTAACAATTTTTTTCTGTCGGTCTTGTTCTTCATCTTTCTTCATTCTCAACTTCTGTTGGATATCTTCTATCTGTTTCAAAATATTAAAGACAAGTCACATTGGCCAATAACAAGATAATGTAATCATAAGCCATTTTAAATACTACGTTATGTAAAATGGAACTTAGGACTAAACAAGAAAAGGCAAAACACTGTGTTGTAAATATCTGGCCTTATTCCCAAACTGGGAAAATAAAAACAAAGCACAAAGCTCTATTAAGTAAAACAGCAACTAAGGTACATATGCACACACAGCAGAAAGGTAGTAAAAACAAGCTAGTACATCAATATGTGAGCCAGATAGAATTATGTTGACCATTCTAGAAGTAGGAAAGCAACAGGGGATGTGACTGCCTTAATTATCACTCGATACTTAAAAGGCATGGTTCAAATTACAGACCTGCTTTTCTTTCCTTTCCAAAACTTCCTGGTTCTGTTTACACTTCTGTGAAGTTTCACGAATTTCAGTCACCTTTTAAAAAGGTAAAGAATAAAAAATCCTGTTATGTTTTATAATAAACTCTAAATACACCTAAATGATGAATGTTTTTAGTTGTAAGGCATTCAGAAAGTAGTCACGTATTTTCACCAAACTGTAAACTTCTTAAATCAACCTATTTTCTGAGTGTAAGTGATCGATTTGATATCTTACTGATTGTACTGTGAAACAGCCACGGAGACAAAGTCTGGCCATATACTGTACCATAGAGGGAATCTTCCAGCAATTTTCAGTCGGACTCCTTTGACAGAAGCCGATTGCAAAAAAAAAAAAACTTTGTCGAACGGAGTAGTGCCAGTACAGCCGCCCACAGCTCGAATTTTGGAGTCAGTGTATGGCAATCTAAAGAGCTCCAGATTAGCAAGGACAGTTGCTGCAAAATTTGCAATTTTAACTTTAGGCTGAGACTAAGATTTCACTTAAACCAACACACACAAGTCCTTAGTTAATGCCCTTAACAGTCAGTGCATCTGAGAAGTAGGCATGTTCAAAGGCAATATTTACTGTATACTGTTTAGGTTAAAAAGACTGACCATATTTATTCCTTCCTCTTCAAAGGATCAGTCAACCACAAGGTGTCTATTCACTGTATTAGCCTAAAACTTCTCCTCTGAATGCCTCTCTACTTTATGCTTTTTTCAGCAAAGGTAAGCAGCAATTTTATTTTTTGAAGTTATGCTAGGTGAATAAGAACATCCTAATGTGAATATACTACGTAAAGCACAACTAAACCTGCTTTGTGTTTTGGCAGAAGAGACATTTACCAAAACACTTTCCCCCCATTTTAGTAACTTTCTGTGCACACTGCACCACGCATGTGCCCATCAGTGCACAGTCCGATTATATTCTTGGCATGCTGAGAATTGAGCTAGATGCCGAAGTAACTTCTGCGTCAAGGAGTGTGTGCCACAATCTGCAAATATGATGTGTATACGTGCGGATTATGGCCTTGCAGAAAGAGTGTTCATTTCATTTAGTTATACATAGCCAATGTCTGAGCAAGAAAAATTGTGTCTTTCAGTATATTCCACAGAAACCAGATCAAGATAACATTTCTAAAATGTTAGCCTTTGCAAAATTGTCTCTCTTATCTCTGTTTGTGTCTTCTGGTTATTTACTTTACAAATCCCCCACCCCCTCCAGGGTGTCTCTTGATCCTTACCATCATGAGTAGTCTTGTATACGTGCATGATTTTCATTGGTTTATGCTCTGCCACCCCCCTTTTAGTTTCACATACAACCTTTCATTTTAACAATAAACCTTTGAATATAGAGTGAATACACTATTTGTTGTGACTCTTTTATTCCGAATCCCAAGTACTTGTTTGAAGACGACAGCTCGATCCAATCCCGGGAAAACTTAAGGAGCTAAGTTCTACCAGGAGACGTGGGTTTAAGGCCCACTACTGAGGGCTTGAGGCCCTGCAGTGTAGCTGCATCCTAAGGGATCCTAACACTTGCAGATTATGGCAAAAGCTCACCACCTCCAGGAACCTGCGCTCTACCACTTTATGCGACACTCTGTAATGCAATTACCAACCAAGCTTCCTAGTACCCCTATCAACTCGTATGCTTTAGTATTGGCACGTCAGCACTTACTTTCTCTTTAATTTTGCCATCAATTTGCTTGTGCTGCTTATCATACTGCTGGACTTTTTGGGCAAGAGGCTCTTGAGATTCTTGTTTTTTTCTAAGTTCTTCCTTTAACTTCTCACGTTTTTGTTTCACCTCTTCATGTTGTTGACGACAACTTTCATATTCCTGATGACAAAAACATAACGTGAAGTTTAACTCCTAAAACATACCACTATATAATGACATTTGTTTAAAACGTTGACGTATAAAAAAACATGCATTATTGGGGTATGGAAAGTTTAGTTTTTTTACTTTTGTTTTGTTATGGATAGAAGGACGGAAGAACTTTACCCATATCGTTAAAATAACAACAAACACACCTTTAGAAATGTTTAGTACTGACAATCTACAAACGCATACTTCTAGATAATTGCAGGCTTTGTATTCTTTGCATACCTTATTTCTCTTTTCTTCCCCAGTCTTCTGACAGTGGCATGTTAACTAAGGGCAGGTTACTAGCTCTTTTACTTCCTGGATTTCTGGCACGTGACTAGACTTGTTACCATGCACATCTCAGGGGAGGAAAATGCCTTTCCCTGAGATCTTATGAGATTACAGATGAGGAATGCTCTGCTGATATAACCTTCCCAGGATGCAACGCTTTGCCACATTACATCATTTGTGCCAGAAGTGGACCAGGAAGTAGATGAACTTTATTTGTAAGTAAATGAAAAACAAGTTTGTTTAACTGGTGAATGTAAGATGATTTTAAATCAGCATGCAGAGCTGCATGCTGCTATGATTTTTATTGAAAGGGGCCGCTTTATGAGCCTCGTCAGGTTTGTTTTTGCTATATGTGTCCCATCTGGGTGATTTGCCTTCAATTCCTGGCCCAGAGGCACAGCAGCATGTAACAGAAGATCTCTCTGAAGTGATAGTTCTCCACAACAGGTTTTCCCATTAGAAAATTTGCCCTCACGTTCTGTTCTTGTAACAACTCAATAATGTTAGATTTCTAATCACGTTCTGTACAGGAACAGTGGTCACCAGGAACAAGAGTGCGAGCAATTCTACCAAACAGGGACACAGACAACAATACAAAAAAAAAAAAAAAAAAAAAAAAAAAAAAAACGTGACAGAGGTTCTAACCTTTTCACATTCTAACCAGTTTTAGACTTACCTGTAACTCTAATTTCAGTAATCTTCCAGGACAGCATGTTTGACAAAGGTTCCACCCACTAAGACAGGAAATACGTCACCAGGTCAAAGTTTAAAAGGACGTCCTAAGGATGTTCTCATTTTAAATCACACAAAACAAAAAAGACAGGGAACACTGCTCTCCTTGAAGGCTACTGGAAACAGTGTTACCAGTATGTCTAACAACGCGGTGGTGTGAATGGTGTCCATCTGTGAAAAGGCACATTGCCTTGTCTTGTTTTGGGGCAGTGCAGGAGAAAACAGCCAGCACATCCTCAACGTATCTGGTGTGAATGGGCCCCTAAACAACACAAGAAGCGATTCCAACAACTGTTTCCTGGGACTACCGGCTACCAAGGGAGCTTTCAACTGTGTAAGACAGAATTCCATATTTCTGACTACACAAATAGTAGAGAAGACGTGCATGTCATTCAAAACAGTAAAATCCCATGCTCGCTTATGAATAACATTCTTCTCGTCTATCGCATCTTTCAGAATGACCAGAATGGATCGATGTACAAGGGAAATCGATTCCAAGTTATTTCCAGCTCCAGCTCAGCCCACTCCTCAAGCATGGAATCACACATTTTGTTTACTAGAAAAACCTTTGTCATTCTTCTGTAGGCCCAGTTAAATCTGCTCTTGCCTTTACAGAACTTTCGCCTCCTAAATCTCCAAAGTCGCATAAATAGCTTTGAGCAGGTCATCAACATCCTCCACAGAAGCTTAACCCTGGAAGCTCTGGAGGATCATCATTGTAGCCATCTTCTGCCTGATAAGAACCAGGTTCCCTGGACTAGCCCTCCACCACCCTAGGAAACGTCCACTTGTGATGTTGAGCCTTCATAATTAAAAGAACTGAAATCCAATGAATGAAAGGGGCCAGGGACAGTAGTCTGGGGAGGAAAGTGCTAGAAGATATTGGAAACCATGCAGCCATGAAATAAGGGGAGCTCTATATGACTCGCTGCAGGATTCTAACAGAGTGTGAGAAGCTCTGTTTGCAGTGAAATCAGAGTAAACAATATCAGTACAAAGAGAGGAGCCTATACAGCTGTGCAGAACTGAAGGTATGGCTGGACTTCAGCTTTGATAAACGTTTCTTTAATCAAAACTATAAAATATAGCAGAGTCCTAAAAATAAATTACACCAGCAGGCAACTCTGTATATATAACAAATATATAATTTTAGGCAAAACCGATATTTTTTAATTCAAGGCTCTATTTAAATTTACCCACAGATAAATACAGTTATTCTGAATTTTATGAATAGCATCCAAAATAAAAGGGAATCTTACCACCCAAGGTCGTTTCCTCTCCAGCATCTTGATTTTATCAAGGTGACGCTTCCTTTCATAATACCTCTCAACATCCTGCCTGTAGCGTTCATTTGATTGCTTCAGTTTTTCTAAGACATCTTCTCCACCTTTACAACTATTCTGATAAAATTAAAACAACATTTGCACAAGTCACTAAGAGCTACTGAAATCACCACAACTTCTAACATTGTTTATTCTATCAAAAAAGATAAATCGCACGGATACAGAACCAGGAAAGTAAACAATTAAGCCCCGTTCACATGTAGCGACTTATCGCACGATTTCCGCCGCCATATCGTGCATTTTTGACGCGCGATATCACGAGAAGTCGCCGGCTAATGATAGTCAATGGAGCTGTCTTAGCTCCATGTCACGCGTCGGGGTCGCAAGTCGCTTCTACCGGACACTTTTTCCGGCGGATTTTGCTTTTTTTCTATGGAGCTCGACGGAGGTCGCGCTACCGTCGCTGGAACGTCGCGCTATCCCGGCCGCTGCAAAGGTATGTCGCTACATGTGAATGGGGCCTTAAACTTCCTTTTTGGTCCCTGAATGAGCCAAATCCTCATTTGTGTCTCACACACTCCCCCTCCCAGATACTTCAGCTCACAGTGGGATATTTTCAGTAACAGATGTAGTGCTGCGAGTCCAAAAGAGCAGTGGGCAGGACTAGGTGTGACGGGGTGCTTATTGACAAGCTACAGGCTTGTGAATAAGCAGTGGCAATGCTGACCGGCCATACTCCAGCTACATTTATTTACCCAACTATAGCGCTAACAAGTATAGCCTACGTGAGTGTGGCAACTGTTTTCTAAATTCAGGAACAGTGCAGCTGTGTTGCCACACCATCACAGGAAGTTGCATTAGGTGGACTTTTCTAGCAGGATTAACAGATATTTGTGGGACTTTGCAGGGAGACTAAGAAAAACTATAGCACATATTTTTTTTTTTTTAAGGAAGACATTGGTTCTACTTTAAATAAGACCCCACCAGTGTTAAATAGTTGCAATGGTTAAACAACAAACTGTCACTTTTGTTGAACAGCTTGGTCTGCATGTAGAGGTGGAGAAAATGTGCTGTGAATAGAAGGCATGTGAAATAAAAGAAAATGTTCATTACTATTGCCTAACGTGCTTTAATTGAGGGTTCACAAGACAGGGCTACAAATTTGGTATGTGTCATTTACATCTACATAAGATATGTAATATGCTCAAAGAGTACCTCAAGTTCTTTTTCCTTTTCTCTGCAGTTTTTTAGCTCACAGTGGAATCGGTGCATTTCTGGAGGTCCAATGGATTTCTCAGTTGCTTCTAACAGCTCAGTTTTAGATAATTTGGCAAACTCACCAACTTTATCCTAAAAAGTGTTTCAACATTGATAAATATTCACAACTAATCAAGCATATAGAACAGCCACATACTAATTAAAGACATATCTAGAAAAATTGAATTATTAATCAAAGGGTTAAGAGAAATGTATACACAGAAATCCATTTACCTACTTTTTCCTCAAAGAGGCAAAAAGAATAACCAGCCAACCTGACTGATATGGCCAATTTGTGCAGATATATAATGCACAAGGTAAGTATTTGTCATCAAAAAATAAAGTTGTTGTTTTTTCTTGTCCATGGAGGGACTCAGGAATCAAAATACATCCTAATTATACTGCCACCTACAGGAGGATCGGACACTAGCAAACAGAAAGATTGTAAGCCAGCGCTGTTAAACCCCTCCTCTACCCATAATACCTCAAAGTCTTGATAAAGCTCTAGAAGCCGGATGTCTTCTGTTCAGCTATGCTAAGAAAATTCTGATCACATTTTGCTAGTCTTCTTTTCTTTGATTTTTGCCATTGGATTCTTCTTCCATCATCATTATTATTCAAGATTTCTCACTACACTGCTGGCTGAGCTGGTCTTTACAGAGCAGCTATCCATATTGGCCTTTCCTAAGCCCGAGTTTGGAGTGCTGTACTTGGACGTGAACAAGAAGGCTAGCCTGAAATGTGACCTTCAAGTACCGGGCTCTGCATAGTGGCACTTTCCAGGCCTTTGTTTACTGGTAACAAGCTTTTTTCCAGAGCTGTAGCATTGCCTCAGCATTTGACCCTGTATCTGTAGCCTCACTTTTTAAGTAAGGCTGTTCAGGCTGAAGCACCAGCACTATTGTACAGCTAGGGACATTTCTATATTTCCTGGCATTATCAGTTTTCACTGCAGAAAGGGTTAAAGCTGAGCAACTGAAGTCTGACGTCATCTACAGGGTGGAGTGTCTTGCGTGGCCACTCCATTTCCTGTCATTCAGTGTAGAGGAAACACCATGCCGCTGCTACTCCTGCTTTAAAAGCACCATGTGGAATTCCAGTGTCTGGTCTATTCCCACTGCCCGCCTTCAGTGACATGGCTGCCTGATCCTCATCAGCACCAGCTGCCTGTGTTTGTGAAAACCTGAGGCCTCATCTCACACTTTGGGCCTAGTTTCAGTACAGCAGGGGACGGTCCCACTACTATGGGTAACCCCAGCCCATACACCTCTGTGGTCTGCAAGGTAGAATCTAAAAACCCTGTATTCACAGGTTCTCCATCATCACAGTTTCCTTCAGCTCCATCAGATGAGGCCACGTCCCATTCTCGGTCATCAGGGACCTCCACAAAAACTCATGACTTTGCAGCCAGTTTTAGCAAGGAATTGGGTGAATCTGGCCACAGAGACTCTAAGGGTGTTCCAGTGCCTTCCCCTTCAAAGTCCATCTCTGCACTTCGCAAGGCCTTGAAACAGGCCAGGTCATTGGTCGCTGTGACCTTTTCTTACTCGGAGGCCCAAAAGTTTATCTCTAAAGAAACGGTCTCCTGCCATCACCTCTGAATTACAAGGGGTCATTTCAGAACATTTTTATGCAGTGGGTACAACTATGTATTTGGAGGATCAGCATGCTGTCTCCAGCTTTGGGTCCTTTAGAGCCCCTACAGCCGCAAAGACCCTTTCTGCTAAGCCCGCAATTCATCTATGCGGACTGGAAGCATCCTGAAGGGACCCGGGCCCCACCTGAGAGTGTGTTGAAACTGCTCCCTTTTGAGAGGGAATTTGTTTATTCCTATTCCACAGTAGAGAGGTAGAAGGTGTGCTTACCTTTAAGTATGCTACTGGCCAGCAAATAGAATCTCTTAAGTCCCAGTTTGAACTGGCTGATGCTGCCCTGTCTTGTGTTGGCATTGACCTTAATCTGACCTTCTCTGCACCAGAACACGTCCTTTTTCTCTTTTACATTGACAATTTATATAAATAGATGCTTTAAAATACAATTTTGAGACACATACCTGTGGCAGAAATTGACAAAGATTTCCTACTTGGATGTTCAATGCAGCCACCTGCTCTTCAACCACCTTTAAGGAGGCATTTTTTCCATTGATGGACCATGTTGACTGGTTATTTGATACTTGAATTTCACGCATGATGACCAGATTCCCAGATGCCTTGTACCTAGGGTAGCAAGCCGTTATGAACATTATAATGGCATGATGACTGATTGTCAGACAAATCAATGCCTGCATACTTTCAGTGCTTAATGACAATATTTGCCTGCGGTAACACATGACAAAAAGATAGGAAGAAGGGGAAGCTTCCCTTCTAGATGGGTATATACAACCTACAACCCCTGCCCCCTATATTTTTTTCCTTATAGTAGTCGCCATGGTGCCTATGCGTTTTTCTAATGCCACTGCATCCATGCACTTCTCAACCAATCACCATTTCACCTACCTACTTTTCCACAAAACACCACTGTACCATCCACCTCACTGACCACAACTACACCTGTACTTCCCTATTTACTGTTTGACTGCAGCTAGGAGCACACTCCAGCATGCCTGCTATTAACTTTAATCTTTGCCAGCATTGCACAGTTCAATGAAACTGCCTCAGTGGCCAGTAAAAAACAGTCACTGGACAGGCAGCTGAAGTTGGAAGTGGAGCACAGCCAACAAAACAGGGGAAATCAGGCCCCAGTAAACAGTGAAACTAAGGGACCCATTTATAAAGCAGTGGTATGGCTTTAAATTGGCCATTCCACTGCTTTGCAATATTTAAACCATCCAGCAAATTTATAAAGCAGAGATGTTCTTGTACCGTGGCTTCACTTGTTTTCGGACCCCCAACTTACAAACTAGGAAACAATTTTGTTGCTACCAAGACTCTGAACTGGTTGTGAGCATTTGCATTGTCGCCCTGATGAAGGGACCCTGTGCGGTCCTGAAACGTTGTTTTGTATGCGACGATTGGTCCGATTAAATGGACATCAAAAACATTTGCTGAGTGCTGGTGATAGGATCCAAAATCGGGATCAATTTGAATAAACAGTACTAGTAGCCAACCCCTGGGTCACTTCAAAAACAAGCAAGACTGGGCTATACGAGTTCCCTGCATTAAAACACATAATAAAAAAAAATCTGTCAGAAATCTTACAATTCGAGCTCCACCAGACCTTTCTGACATCCACGCTTCACATAAAGGCCGACCTGAAAAATGCAAAGAAACAGCTTAAGAGGGTTTTCTTTTCCTACAATGGAATGTGGTTACCGTCCTGTATGCATCACACAGGGCCTGGCATATCAAGATATGTCAGTTCTAAAAAACTTTCCCCCACAGCTACAAAATGAAGTTTAAACTTTATAGGAAACCTGTGGTAAAAGAATTGCAGGGCCTGCTATTGCAGACCTTCTTCTAAGAATGGCATTTGCTTGGCTATAACTGGCTCTAATACTTTGAGTTAGTAATCTGGAACACGCCTGCAGATTAGAAAGTCTAAACTATTACTCTGCATAGCTGGTCAAGGTCAGTGCTTAAGAAAAGAACTGAAGCCAGCGGAACCACATCATAGGCAGACCACTAGCATATTCAGAAGTAAGCTACAGTAGCAGATATATGCCCTTATTCAAATGCTTGAAAGACTGACAGGATGAGTGAGAATCCAGTTATCCAGTGGTGTTTGCAGCAGCCTCTACATCAGCGGTTCTCAACCTGTGGGTCGCAACCCCATCGGGGGTCGAATGACTATTTGCCAGGGGTCGCCTGGGAGTCTCCCGCTATTATAGATAGCGGCTCACGGTCACCCGGGAGAGAAACACTTTCCCTGCGATTGTTTTTTTTCTGACATCCGGGGCCGCCAGCCGTAAGTCAGAAAAAAAAAAAATACACCATAGGAATGCATAGCTAGATTCCTATTGGCTACTTCACTTTGCAATAGCCAGTAGCAAACTAGCTATTGCATCCGCCCTCTGCTGCTGCTAATCAGCCGAGGGGGACCTGAAGTTCTCCATCAGGTCCTCGTCTAGTGATTGACAGCAGCAGAGGGCGGGTGCAATAGTTAGTTTGCTATTGCAAAGTGAAATAGCCAATAGGAATCTAGCTATGCATTCCTATGGTGTTTTTGTTTTTATTCTGACGGCGTACGCCAGTGGTTCTCAACATGTGGGTCGCTGCGTTATTTCTGCTGTGCTAGGTGAGAGTCCTCCTCAGCCCTCTCCTAGCGCAGCAGTGTCAGTTCTCCCGACACGGCGCCAGATGTCGCTGCAGCAGCCGCATCATCCCTAACTTTTACTTTTGGGGGTCACAACTTGGCAAATGTTACCAAGGGGTCCCAGCCCTAGAAAGGTTGAGAACCACTGCTCTAAATCCACTGGAATTTTCTAAAGATATTAGCACTACCACTAAAAAGACAACTTCATAGATTAACAAGTCCAAGGCCACATATTTTTTTTTTTTCTTGTTTTAAAAATGGTCCCTTCTGCAATAAAAGCTTCTCACCTTATATTATTATTATTAATACAGAATTTATATAGCGCCAACAGTTTGCACAGCACTTTACAATATAAGGAACGGCTGTGCCGCGAGGGAGCATGGAGCCGGTTTCCTGGCCAATCAGGCGTGATTGGCTAGGAAGCATGCTTCATGCTGACTAGCGGCACTGTGCGGCAGCCTGGCTTCCTGACCAATCAGGAAGCCGGGTGGCACGTAATTTTCTTCTTCAGACACAGGAAACCCAAGCTGTATGATATTATTACAGGTATTTATATAGCAATGACAGTCACTGCCCTTAAGGTGCTTACAATCTAAAGGTTCCCATCTCCCATACATACAGGGCCGATTTAGAAAGAAGCCGGAGTACCCGGAGGAAAGCCACACAGGCACAGGGAGAACATGAAAACTCCTTGCAGATAGTGACCTGACTGGGATATGAATCGTGGAACCTTCTGCAATGCAGAAGTGCTAACTACTATGCCACTGTCCCAGTGTTGAGGAATGCAGGAAAGACCAGCAAATTACCACTATAGAATATTTTTCATGATAGCGGTCCTATACCACAGTGGAGCAGGCAGGATAGAATGGTCTTATATGACTATATATTTGTTTAAAATCTACATAGGAAATCAAATGAATATTACCTTATCGGCTCTGCCAATAAAGGAGGTCTTGCCTGCCAATCCCAGACAAATGGCACAAACAATGCTGGACTTTCCTGTTCCATTTGCACCAACGATCATATTTAAGTGAGGACCAGGAAATACCTCGCAAATGTCGTATGTGCTGCATAAAAAAACCAAAGAGGAAAGATAAATATACCATGTAAACATTTTTTTCCATAAATACAAGTAAAATACCAAGGTAACTCAATTGTATCGAAATACTAAGGTAAAGCAGATCTTTACTCTTTTCACTAAAAACCACATCAGCATGCAGCTCTGCAATCATCTTACATTCATTAGTTAAATAAACATACATTTCTTTTACTTGCAATTATTATTTTTCCACTTCCTAGTCCTCTTGGGCATTAGTCATATAGCCTGTGCTCACCAGATGCATCCTGGGAAGATTACATCAGCAGAGCGTTGCTGGGAAATCTAATCTGTAATCTCATGAGGTCTCGGTGAAAGGCATGAGATGCAGTGCATGGTCACATGTCCTAGTCACATGTGCCAGAGTTCCAGGAAGTAAAGCAAGATCTAGTAATTTGCCCTATGAAAATGGCCAATGTGAGAAGACCAGGAAGCATAAGAAAAAAAATAACATGTGAAGAATACAAAGCCTGCAATTATCTAGAAGTATGTGTTTGTAGATTGCCATTACTAAACATTTCTAAAAGGTGTGTTTGTTGACATCTCAAAGAAATTTAAAGTGACCTCTTTAAAGTGACATTAAAGTCTAAATCCCCCCCGCCCCCAAATGCTGCTGTAATGACTAACCTTAACCACTTGCGGACCGCGGTGTTACACCCCCTTCCCATCCAGGCCATTTTTCAGTATTCAGCGCTGCGGTACTTTGATTGACATTTATTCCGTCATGCAACGCTGTACTGAAATGAATTTTATACCATTTTTTGGGGACAGATAGAGCTTTCTTTTGGTGGTATTTAATCACCACTACGGGTTTTTTTATTTTTTACTATACAAGGAAAAAAAAAAAAAAAGGTACAAAAAAAAAAAACGTTTTCCCCTTTATTATTTTAGGAAACATTTATTTCTACCCAATTTTTAGGTAAAATATAAAAGATGGGGTCACGTCGGGTAAGTAGACACCAAACATGTCAAGCCTTAAAATTGCGCGCGCGAAATCGCAAAAACCGACCATAGCCAAAATTGGCCATGGGCGACGCTTTAAAAGATTTTACCGCTCATCAGTTTACTGTTATAAGTGATTGATGGCACCAGAATTATTGCTCTCACTGCGACGTTCGCAGCGATATGTAACATGTGCGGCATAATTGGAGCAAACGTCGTTTTTTGCGTGTAGGTGCACCTAACGCATTTTTGCGCATCTATGTGGGGGAGGGGGACTTTAAAACATTTTCGTGGGGTCTTTTTTTGTGTGTGTAAATTTTATTTATTTTGTGAGGTTTTTTTTTTTTTACACCTAACTTTATTGTTATCGCATAGGGTGCTAAGAAGTACCCTATGTGATAACGAATTACAGTCACAGGTCCCCTTTATGGAGACATCAGGGGTCTCTAAGACCCTTAATGTCACTTAGGGATCACCAGAGAAGCTGATGAAGCACAGATCTGCTTCATCAGCTTCTCTCCGGTTTCTGTACCGGAGAGTGGCAGAGGAATGCGGAAGTGATGTAATATACCGGGAGGAGAGCGGAGGGAGATCTGTACTGAACTCCCTCCGTTCTCAGTGCACAGAGCCACATAGCCCGGGATGGATGGATGGATGAATGGATGGACGCCCGAGATCGCGGTGGCGGAGGGGACAGCAATGGCGAGAAGAGGTAAGGAGGGTGGGCGCACCCTGACTTGCATCATACAAGCGATAGGGCGTCTTTACAGACGCCGGACCGCTTGTATGTAAATGGCTATCGCTGGCCGTTTAAAATCCTGGCGGTTTCCCACTCGTGCGCACCAGGTGGCATGCACGATGAGGCGCGGGCATGAAGGACGTCTAAACCCGCATCCAGGAGACTCCCCTCCGGCCGTCTTTCAACGTTCTTCGGATGGGAGGTGGTTAAATGATGCCTCTTGATCCGATCATCTTCTACTTTCCAGTAGTTTTCAGGAGTCCCTTCAGCGCTGGTGCCAGTCTCTGATCCGGCGCCGACTGCTGTGTCCCACGGAGTCTGCGCTTGTGCATTGACATTGAGGAGAGGCATCTCTCCTCTTCTCCTGACTGAAGATCTCTACTAAGCATGATCCCTTGCAGGTGCCCCGAGAATCTTCAGAACTTCAGATGGGAGAGCGCAGCGGAGACACAGCTAAGTTTTAATCTTTTTGGTAACTCTTTTTGATTTATTTATGTTTTTGCACATAACTATTGCTTGCTAGCACTAGATAGATGCAAAAACACGCGAGTATTTCATTGTACATTAAGAAACAAGATTTTCCACACCGACAGCTGTGCTTATTGCTCCCCTTCTTCTCACAGGGTTACTTCAATCTAAGGGTGAAGAGATGTTAAGACCCTGTATAGTGGGTCTAATGTTCCGCATTCTCCTCAGGGGCAAAGGAACTAATCTCCAAAAAAGTATTGGTCCCAATGCCTGCAATTTCCTCTAACTTGTGGTCATTTCCCTCTCATCAACATGCTATGGAAGTTTATAATAAAACCTTTCCATTTGTTACTAATACCTTATTTTAGTGCTTCTCTATGGAGGCTGCCATCAGGCCTCATTCACATGGGTGGTTAAGGGACAGTAAAAATAACAGGTAGTTGAGCCGGACAGCGCTATACACATTGCCACGGCTGCTTCGGTGCAGGAATAAAATAATAAAAAAGATTGACAGCATGCTGCAAACGGCAGGCTACAGCGCCTGCTGAACGCATCCAGTTGTTCCATTAAAAAGCCCCTTTTAGATCAAACCCCCGCAAAAACATTAAAATGGCAGCAGTATAGCCTCCTCTATCGCCCTCTGAAAATGAATCCACCACAGGTCACTTTTCAGTGTGGCAGTCTAGTTTCATGGCTGTCAGTCTGTTGCTCTGACTTCAATGCTGTCTGAGTTGCTGCCCCCGAATGAGCATAGCGATAACTAGTTCCGACACTCAGGACTGACACATACTGACGTCAGACACAGCCAGGCACCCAGCATTTTCAGAAGGAAGCCGTCACCACAACACAAGCGGATAGGAAATGTCTTAGTGTAGGCGCCTGTCACAGTGACATCTGACTGCAGTGGGATCTGCAATCACTTTGGGGAGATCATCTCTCATTCTATTGTATTGTGTCGTGGACAGGAAGTAAACAAATCTCCCCAGTGGGGCCAAAGTATTATAGACCTTATAGAGATTCTAACTCCTCTCAACTAGTGATGGGCTCGGGCGTGTTCGCAGCTCCACGTGTCGAGCCCGCCAGGAAGCCGACAGCGCCAATCAGAGGCACTGAGACATATCCCAATCTCTGCAGATGCGGACCGGGCTAATGTCTCAGTGCCTGTGATTGGCGCTGCGGCACTGTCAGCTTCCTGGCGGGCTCGGCACGTGGAGCTGCGAACACGCCCGAGCCCATCACTAGTCTCAACCCTATCTAAAGCTGACCATACGCCATGCAAACTGAACATGCAACCTGCTCTGCGCCATGCAAACTGAACATGCAACCTGCTCTGCGCCATGCAAACTGAACATACAACCTGCTCTGCGCCATGCAAACTGAACATACAACCTGCTCTGCGCCATGCAAACTGAACATACAATCTCCTCTGCGCCATGCAAACTGAACATACAATCTCCTCTGCGCCATGCAAACTGAACATACAAACTGCTCTGCGCTATGCAAACTGAACATACAACCTGCTCTGCGCTATGCAAACTGAACATACAATCTGGGTTGTACGATTAGATTGCATAGTGTGGGGGGAATTGATCAAAACTGGAGCTGACAGAATCTGGAGCAGATTTGCACTGCAACCAATCAGCTTCTCTGTCTCATTTTCAAATCATATCTGAGCAAACTGAAGTGAGATGCTGATTAGTTGCCATGGGCAACTGCTCCAGATTTTGTCCGCTTCAGTTTTGATAAAATCCCCCGTTTATGTATAGTCAGACTAAAGAAGAATGTGTTGGCTGGACCTCCACTTGAAGATATCTTCTCATTCAATGTCTAGCAGTACATGAAGAGCTGTGTCAATGATCCTAGCCATCAGGGACCTGTCCCAGCATGACTCACATATACATACAGAAAGTTCTCCATCTTTATCCTGACGATGGCTCCCTCCACAAAATGTTTGTTGTCATTCTGCCGCCCCGTCACCAGTCTCGTGCCGTCCGCTTTCCTCTTGCCCAGTGGCGCTGCCATCAGTACCCTGTGCCTCCACCAAAACACCGGCCAGCAATCCGTACACAGCACCTCTACGCCGCCTCTAATTCCTGCTACGTCACTCCACGTCACCCTACCTGCGCGGCCATTTTGACTGAGGGCACCTGAAATCTTAGATAAGCGCTGAGAAACAAAGGCAGTCGTTCTGCTTTTTGCAGAGAGCTGTGTAATCTAAAGAGTCATATGGCAGCATATGTATAAAACAAAACAAGACTGTACACGGACTAAGCTAGAGAAACGCTTCAGAGAAGCCGGGAGAATGGGCGGAATTAGAATTCAATTTCCTATCGTATGATTGGTTAATGCGGAGCGCGCGGAACTGACTGATGAGGACGGAGGCTGAGGAAGCAGGAGGTCACACTGGGAGGTGTGACAGGAATCTATCGTGTCAGCCTCCACATTCTTTATCATCGTTCTGGGAGGCCAAATAATGTAAAAATGTGCTGCTGTTGTACACGGGAGGGGAGCAAGTCTAGTGAGTTGCAGAATCGAAACCTCACAAGGGAGTGGGGAGGCCTATTTCAACATAGAATATTTAGAGAATATTTTTACACTTCCTAATTACAATGGTCTACACATTTTGGGAAATTATTGACCTCTGAGATAAAATGTGTTAATTCTTACATATTTTGATTAGATTAATTAGAAAACAGGTGATAACATTGCTGGTTGGCTGAAGTTTTCAAGATATTTCATAATAATGATTTATACACAGGCGAGTATATTTGCCTACAATGGTGGGAGGTGTCTGATTATTATTATTACATAGTATTTATATAGCGCCAACAGTTTGCGCAGTGCTTTACAATATAAGGAAGACATTACAGTCACAATACAATTCAAGACAAGATGGTAAGGAGGGCCCTGCCCCTGAGGGCTTACAATCTAAAAGAGGAGGGGGAAATGATACATGAGCTGTGGGAATGAATTATGTGAGAATGTGAAGGTTCAGTGGTTAGGTTGAGGTGGGATAGGCTTCCCTAAAGAGATGAGTCTTTAGGGAACGCCTAAAGACAGTCAAGGTGGGAGATAGACGGATAGGTTGGGGTAAGGAGTTCCAGAGGATGGGAGAGACTCTAGAGAAGTCCTGGAGGCGAGTATGGGAGGAGTGGACAAGAGCTGGAAAGCAGGAGGTCAATGGATGAGCGGAGGGGACGGTTAGGGTGATACTTTGAGACAAGGTCTGAGAGATATCCGGGGGTGGAGTTGTGGATGGCTTTATAGGTGACTGTTAATATTTTGAATTTTAACCTCTGGGCGAGTGGAGGGATTGGCAGAGGGGGGATGCAGACACTGAGCGGTTGGTAAGGTGAATGAGTCTGGCAGCTGCATTCATGATAGACTGAAGGGGGGATATCCTGTGTAGTGGAAGGCCAATGAGGAGGGAGTTACAATAGTCAAGACGAGAGATAACAAGGGAGTGGATGAGTAGTTTTGCGGTGTCATTGGTGAGGAAGGGGCGTATTTTTGAGATGTTACGAAGGTGAAGGCGGCAGGATTTGGATAGCGATTGGATGTGGGGAAGAAAGGTGAGGTCCGAGTCAAGGATGACACCTAGGACCTTGGCATGAGGGGAGGGTGGGATAGTTGTGTTATCAATCACAACTGAAATGTTGGGGGAAGGTGCACGGGCAGGAGGAAATATCATGAGTTCAGTTTTTGAAAGGTCGAGTTTTAAGACATGTTGTGACATCCAGACTGGTATATCAATTAGTAGATGTCACGCAAGGACACTGAGGGGGAGAGTTGTGGAGTGGAAAGATAAATTTGAGTGTCATCCGCATAGAGATGGTATTGGAAGCCATGTGAGGTTATTAGTTGACCAAGGGAGGAGGTGTAGATGGAGAAGAGGAGGGGTCCAAGGACTGAGCCTTGGGGGACCCCTACAGGAAGAGGAGGGGAGGAGTTAGAATTGTAGGTGACACTGAAGGAGCGCGTAGATAATTAGGATGAGAACCATGAGAGAGCAGAGTCTTGTAGGCCAAGCGAGTGGATTTTTTTGAGGAGCAGCGGGTGGTCAACAGTGTCAAAAGCAGCAGAGAGGTCTAATAGCAAGAGTAAGGAATAGTGGCCGTTGTTTTTAGCCGTTGTTGTCTGATGATCATGATGCCTCGTAACTTCTCGACAAAGTACGGTAGAAAAATGAAAATGGTACCAAATGGAAGTGTATAAATATCACAATCAAGCGGCTATGGTGGCCTTGGACGGCAGCTGCGGAACTAATTTAGTAGGCTGTATGGGATTCGGTCAGTCAGGCGACTTCCTACACACTCAGTGCGCTAGGAAGTCGTTCCACATCATGTATCCCAGCCTTAGCTCAAGGGAAGTTACTATAGTGTTAGGGGTCTGATGGGACTGTAGTATGACCCAGCCGGAGGAGCTATAGATTGTTATCACTGCACACACAACCCCGAGTTGTATTGGCTGCCTCTAACACTCAGTGCATCTGGGAAATACTGTGCAATCTGGATTACTGATAATGCTCTTTATACCCAATTAACAACAGCTGTGTGGAATTTACGTCAGTAGACAGGCATATAGCGTAGGCATGTACTCTTTAGCAGTATCTCTTAATACACTTCATTTGGCATGTAACCCTTCAGTAGTAATTACACAGGCATCTGACTTCAACATGAACTCATCAGCAGTAGTATCAGGCAACTATCAGGTAGTTCAATATAGAGCTTAGAGCCCAGATACTTGCGGTTCAGCTGTAGAGTTCAGACTAAAGATTATTCTGAACTGTCATTGTTCTTTTATTGCAAGGTACATTTGTCTTGGTCAGATCTATGCATCATACAGTTACATCTGGTGGCTTGTGAAAGTGTAATTGCCTAACATTTCCAAGGAACAGTTGCGTGATATTTTCCCTCAGAAACCAAGATGCCTGAAAACTTTGCAGTTCCAATGGTGTGGAGGGAACCCACCAATCATAGTAGCGACTGCTATTTTTGCATGGTTTTCCCAATTGCAAAAGGGATCTCAAGAAAGTAGACCGTAGAATATCCAAACATTCCATCCGCACTGCGTCCTGTACCCCATGGACTTGCCTATTCCAGATCCACCAGAATCCTACTCAGATGATGATGAAGACAATGAGCAGGATGCATCTGATCCAGGTCCGTCGATGTCAGCTGACCCAAACTTTAGCCCACCATATGCTCCTCCTGAACCACTGCCTACTTCAAGTGCAAGACTGATAACTTGAACCCTCTGGAGATTTCTGTTCACCCTTGTTTTTCCTTTAGATTAGCATTTAAAAATAATCAATGCAGTAATCTGAAGGTTGAAAAATAATTGAATAAGGTGTTGTTTGAAGGCTTGCCACACTCAAGTCTAAGGGATATGGTCGGTACAGACAGTGCAGCAGGCCACAGCTATCGGAGGAGATAAGTATGAACCCATGGGGGGGACACAGCTGAATGTGTTGAAGGGGCTGGGAGGACTTTCAACAAAGGTAAGCTTTAAAGAGACCCTGTCAATAGACCATTTATTTCACCATAAATATCCCCATAAGGTTAAATGTGCATTTCATGCATGTTAGTTATCTCCCTTCTGTAGACATACAAAAGGCCTGCGACTGGGTGCTGCTATTAGGATGGGATGTCAGCAGCTCAACAGACAGAGCTGTCTCTCAAGAGCCCTCCAGCTGTCGTGCAACTACAAATCCCATTAGGCATTGCAAGACTCTGACAGCCACAGGCATGACTCCTGGAGGCAGAAGCATGATGGGATTTGTAGTCTCACCACTGCTGGAGGGCCAGAGTTCGCCTAACCCTGCTCTATACTGTGCACCTTCTCTCCCTTCGCGGCAGCAACATAATGGAAAATTGTTATCTAGTAACGTAATTTCCCTTTCTTGGCCAAGCCTCATATCAGCATACTATGGTTCAGCTCTACCCTCTGACCCCCATAGGATTACCTCAAAATCTATCAATTCAAACCTTATCCCTCCATACAGTGTACGGTTACGAGACTCCCAACAGGCCAAAAGGGATTGAATTTATACTGACAAAAAAGACTGGCTACGAATGGGAAATTAAGGTGAGTATTAGATAACAATTTTCTTCCTCATGTCAGCATACTACGGAATGTAGCTAGTAATGAAACTAAAACCACTATTAGCTTTAAGATAGTAACACACAACCAGACAATTGGAAAATGCTCCAGAAAACATTTACAAATCTCCAAAGTGACCTTGGCAAAGAAAGACCAAGATGTTGCAACTGGTGGCGAGTAACTCTTAAGGCCTGGCTAGTAGCTCAGGACTTGACATTTTGAGCCCTGATGGAGACATTCCAAGTTAGAATGAACCCTAATTTCATGAGGAGGGGAGAGTCCTAAAGACGAGTATATCTCCTGGATTGTTCTCACCAGCTATGATCCTGGATGATGTCGCCGCCCCTTAGGTCCTTTTGGAGGAAGCAGCAGATTATCCACCATACATAAGGGTTTTGTTCTGGACTGATATGTCGATAGTAGAGTCATCCAAAGGATGACTTTTCCACCTCCTAGTGCTAATGGAATGGTGTGGAAACTTGAGAAAGAAACTAAAGAGAGAGTTTCAAGGTGAGTTGTCATGTAAAACTTGGCGGAGCAGCTATGCAAGAAAGAGCACACCATTTGGATACCCTTCTAAGTGGCTTTCAGTTCTTTACCACCCACTTGCAGTTGGTTTGAGCCAAGATCTGACCTTTTTGGGAATTATATACCAGACCCCTGTTTAGGTCTGATTATGGAAAGGTATGAACATCAGAGACTGATGGATTCAATGGATCACTGCTGGAATCTAATGAAAAATGAAAACATTTTTGTCATATGCGAAACTATGTGGAATTGGTGGACACCTTTCTAAAATTGACATGATCTCTACCACTCTCTGTGGAATACCCAGATGGATTAACCTTTCCCTTTCAATCTCCAAACAGTCTCTTGTGATTGGGAGAGAGCAGATCTCCTTGCAGATGCCAAGGTGGAAGGAGGGCAATCTGCAGAAGGAGAGAAACCATAATACTCTG